GTGTCATAACGTCCGGCTGTATCTCTTCATTAATGTTGTCAATGTTTGAGTAGACAGTCGTCCCGACGTATACCCCAACCCGTCGACTGCCCCGCAATTCGTCAGGATTTATGCCTAAAATATATGTTTGTTTTGAGACCAATCAATTATATCATATCATGTATTGAATATGTTATGGCTGTCAAGACTAGTATTGTAATCAATGTTTATATTGAATAATGTCAATATTAAACATTTACTGGAAAATATTTAAAGGATAAAGTTCAATGTTAATTAGTAAAAGGCCCAAAATTTTATATTAAAATTTTTTTGTTGTTTTTAATTTGCGAAATTAATTATCATTGTGAGCATAATTGAAATTGATATAAATGATCTACAGTAATTAAGTTAATCAATATAACTTTCGTGCATAACTGTTACTAAATTTCTTAATTTTGATATAACGTTTACACATTATGTCAGATTTGGGAAATTCCTTCAGATTTCGAATCCTCTCATCCATACCTTTCAATTAATATATAATATGATATACTTATTCATAAGATACAATATTTTACATTCAAATTTTTCCTGATAAAAGTGGTCACTACGGCCAAACCCGAGGTCGTCTGGCCAAATAAAATATACCACAGTATTTCCTACAGAGTGTACTTTCGATTGATAACAATAATTCCCGAGTGCACTCTGGGCCTAATATGAACATTGTTTTTTAAACTGTATCTTATAGCCAAGGAATTGCATTTAACTATACCACCTATTTTTAGCGGTTAATAGTATTACACACAGACTCGGGATGTGAACCGATCATGTATTAGGAGTCAGTTTACCTATAGTTTATTTTAACTGTATTTAACTATTTACAACGTTTATAATATAAGTTTAAGCTCTAAGGGTTAAATACGTTATAATATTTGTGACAATATTATTTTCAATATCACATAAAGTAAGTACAGAATACACCATAATTATAGGATCTAAAGATATAGACACACCCGCGTCCATAATGGCCTCGTATGCCGTTTCCAAAACCATTCTCTCCGCGGGTTTTAATTCAAACACCAATTCATCCATTAGTCCAAAGAAAGTGCTGTCAAACCGATTCAAATCCATTATCTTTCCCATCCTTTGATTCATTCCGTATAATTCTGTACAACATTTCAATTCATTATTAGAGAGAGAGAGAGAGAGAGAGAGAGAGAGAGAGCTGTAGTGCATACCTGTAGGCCATCGGGTGTTGTCTTCGGTAATCAAATCGACTCCATTGAAGAGATTGTCCGCAAACTCGTCGGTGTTGTCCGAGAGGGGGAACCGACCGCTCATTCCAGAGATTACTATATCATTGACTGACATTTTTCTCACCAATTTTTATAAACAGTATATACTATTCAAGTAATATATAAGCAATAGTTTATATAACAATTATTATATAAAATATGTGATGGTGTACATAGAGTTAGCATCGACTTATATAGGTTGTGTAAATCTATTTTGAGCCATTGACTACTTTTATTACTAAGGAAAATATAATTTTATATTATACAGTACCATGCTCACCAAAAGTCGTTAATTAGTAGTGACCGGGTAAAAAGTGATAAAAAATATTATAATTAATAATTAGTCATATGAGTGACAAATAAATTACATATTTAAATAATGTTTAACTTATAAAATAGTCGTGATAATTATTATTGCATTAAAATAATTAAATTTAATAATTAAAATTGGGTATAGAACATTATAGTGTATTATAATAATTTTAAGCAACTTTTTCCTTTTCATATTTATTACTTATAATGAAATTTAAACTTTCCTATCGGTAGACAATTGCCATAATCTACAAAACCATTAAATGTCATTAATGCATTTTACTTAATTATATACGTCATGACATTTCCAAACAATTTTCAGAGGATAACCTCTTTAGATGCGATTATCCCGGGATTTACAATAGATAGAGACAAATAGTTGCACCATTTTGTAGACAATTGAACATAGTTTACTTGCCCTGTCCCGTAAATTGGTTAAACGATTAATACAAACTAGCTCATTTTAGTTGTGCTAATTATGCTCCACACGCATTAATGAAATAAACAATTAAAAATAACAATAATACAATTCTTTATAAACAACTCACACACACAGCGATGCTATACGTTAACCACGATTCGGGAATTGCATCAAACATTTTGTATCAATACTTTTATTACGATACTTTCACTTTTGTTGTTTTGAGAGATTAAAAAGGTTTTAACAACAATTGGTTTGATTTATTGTCTGTGTTTTGTCTTTTGCGGATCTGATCGATGGCTTTGTCTTCACCTTTATCTTAATTTTTAGCAAAAAGTGATCGATTGTCTAATTGTGTAAATTTTGTATTGTTTTTTAATGTTTTAGTCAATAATAGATAACATTTGTTTGGTGAAATATAATATAAATAAGTGCCGCAATAAAATAATATTTAACAATATATTAATGGTAGTTTTTTCAGCTAGCTTTTTATTATTAAAACGAATTTTGTATTGTGCAATATATGTTTTTTTTGAAGTGAATGTCTGAATTTATTAATTTGATTTGTAAATACATTATTTATTATTATAAATATATAATAAAGTAAATATTGATTTAATCATTAATTTATTTGAAACGCAATGTAAAACTCATTAATTTTGAATTGTATTTTAACATTAATGATATTTCTTTGTTTGGAAATATAAATCTTTATTCATTCAAATCATATGATAATTAAGTATTTTTATAATAAACAACTATAAATAACTTTTCATAAGAAAATATTTTATATAAGTTATAATATAACTAATAATACAATAACTTTTCCATTCAATATCAATGACATCGACGGTAGAAATGTATTTCTCAATAAAAACACGGTTTTGCAAAAGATTATCACAAAAACCACATCCAATCCGTGGCCAGAAAGTGGCAAAACCTCTAAAGCAAACGTCACTACTTCAAGACATTGTCCATTGTTTCAGCGACGAGACAATCGGTTGGCAGCGTTTGGAGAGATTCACAAATAGGTACTGTGTTTTTCTCGACAACGACTTCCTTCATGAGCACCACTATAGCTCCGGTCATCGCAACCGATCCACCAGACGATTGTCGGCCATAGCGTTCACACACGCCGTTACGCTTATAGTAGGGCTACGGTTCGCGGCCATTGCCATCAACGATATACCGGCTCTCAGTCGGCTATATCTGGCCGACGGGTATCACCTGATTTGCAGCGGACGGCTTATGGCCGCATCCATTGGGTGCTTTATTTCTATGACACAATTCATAGGCCTGTGTATACATTATAACGAGTGGACGGGTGGGCTCCGGGCGCTGTCACTACTCAACGAGATCAGGCACAGGGAGACCGGCATACCGTTGAGAATCAAGTACCGTCAGAAGTTAGTCGCCAGATTGACATTTGTCACCAAGGTCATGTTGAAACTGCACTGGTTCTTATACATGGCATCGCCAATAATGTTAATCGCGCCCACAATCATAGCCTATAGTCAACAGCCGGCAGAATATTCTGTGTACAGTATTATAGTGTGGAATGTATTGACAGCCCTATACATAGCGTTATCGTTTCCCATATCGATGGCCACCGCCAGTGTCTGGTACCTGTGCTTAGTATATCTCAAATATCAATTCATCCAGGTTAACGAACGTGTAGGCAACGCGTTAAACACCAGGAACTATGTGGTATTGTTTGGCCGGCTGTTCACCGAGCACAATCAACTCTGCCTACTGACCGCCGATTTGAACCAATCGCTGCGCTACTGTCTGCTGGCGTTGTACTACTTGTCGCCCATATGTCTAAACATATACGTTTACGAAATGCTTGGCAAACACACGTCGAATCGTTATAAAATGATAATGGTTATTATGTGGGTCATATTTTGTACCATATTGTTTCAAATTGACTGCTTGTGCGCTTTGGTGGCCAAAAATGCCCACAAAAGTCGCCAAATGTTTTACAAAACACTCGTCGATCCGGACATTAATCGTAAAACATTGAGACGACTAACAGTTAGGGAACGGCTTCGGGTTCAGCGGTTCGTCGAGCGCCTGTCCGGACCCGACATTGGTTTCTATTGTTATGACTTATTCCCGATAAATACCTACGAGTTTATGAATTTTATTGTAAACTGTTTTATGTATTACTTTCTGCTAATGTCTGTCATGAAGATCGCCGACGAATTTCAATCAATACATGTTAAATTTTTAAAACATAAATATCCACAATATTTTACTTAAATTATGATAAGCCTATGCCTTTACCTTGCTAAATTGATCATGCTAATTAGATGGCGCCAAAGGTTTTATAAGTTATATAATTAAATTTATTTGAGAGAGAGAGAGAGAGAGAGAGAGAGAGAGAGAGAGTTTTATGCCACTTTTTGATCAAATACAAATGTACTGTACATGTACTAAATATTAATTAATTTTTAAATAAATATATGTTTAATAATTAAAATATAATTGTGTGGTATTTATTTAAAATCTATGAATTTAATAAAATTGTAAGAAAATTTGAAATGTTTTATTTAAATCATTAAAATTGAATGCATTATAAAAGACACTAAACAAGTGAGTATTAATGTAAACATCTATTTAGTGGCGATTAAACTCATAATCTTCATGTGAACGACAACTTTATCGGCACTCGGGTTAGCCTTCAACTCGTTGAGTGCGTTCGGCTTTCGGACATCACTTTTGGGATTAACGTAAGCGTCAAACACGGCGTCGGTTATGGACTGCACGTCAAACTTGTGGCCGCTTTCGGTGATTGTGTTATAATGTGCCACAAATACAGGAAGAATTGCTACACAAGTAATAACATTAACGTAAATATATACATCTAGGTGACTTTAAAAATGTTACCTAGTATCTCTTCCTTTCTCAAATGCCACTCGGAGTCTATGACCTCAAAACGACTGGCTTTGAGACCGTTGTCGGCCAACCCCTGGCGCCAGATGTCCACCTGTTTCTCAACGGACAG